TACCATTCCAAGCATACATCACAATATTTGTGTTTTCATTTTCCCCTGGTGCTACTGGGGATTGAACCTAGGGCCTTGTGTATGAGAGGCAAGTGCTCTAACCACTGAACTACATACAGCCCCAGCTCATGCCTTTTTTTTCCTATTTTCTTTTTTTTTAAATATGTGAGTTCTGAGAATTGAATTCAGACCTTCATGCTTGCAAGGTAAGTTCTTTATAGAATTATTTACCTGCCCAGGCCCCCAAATATGAATTTAGTTAACCCTCACCATAGCCCTCTAAGGTTATCATTTCTTTTTATCTATCTATCTATCTATCTATCTATCTATCTATCTATCTATCTATCTATCTATCTATCTATCTATCTATCATCTATCTATCTATCTATCATCTATCTATGCATCTGTCTGTGCATCTATGTATCTATGATCTATGTATCTATGATCTATCTATCTATCTATCTATCTATCTATCTATCTATCTATCATCTGTCATCTATTTTTTTGAGACAGGGTTTCTCTGTATAGCCCTAGTTGTTCTGAAACTTGCTCCAACTCACAGAGATCCACCTGCCTCCGTTTCCCATGTGCTGGGCTTAAAGGCCTGCGCCACCACCACCTGGCTGAGGTTATCGTTTCTTCTCCAGATCAATGAGCTCAGGTGCAGACAGGTGATCTTTCTTCTAGTCACCCAGCCAGTCACATCTGTGGAGACTGAGTAGGAATGCAAGCAATTCTGGAACCCGTGGCACATCCACTACCCAGGGCTCAGGTGATGCCACACTGCAGTTCTGTGTGCCATCGCTTGCTCCCTGCCACTGAGGGAAGACCATTCTTCCAGGGATTGAAACAGAGAGTTCTTGTGGGGTGGCAAAGCTGCTCAAAAAGAGAGTGTGGCAGGGCCAAGAGGGAGGAGCCCTGGAAAATGTTTCGTATTCATCTCTTCGATAATCTTAATAGCATGCCCATTGTGCCTTGGAGAGCTTCAAGAATGGGACAAAAGGAATTTAGCTGGAGTGAATGCCGGAGCACAAGAACACAGCGTGATGCAATGCTTAAAGCTGGGAGGAGGGCAGCTGGCCTAAGAGACTGACTGTATCTTGTGCACAGGGAACAGGCCCTGGGGGACATTTGGCCTTATTTGGTCTCTTGGCAAAAGGCCACACATGAGGCTGGTGACCAGAATTAAGACTTGGAAACCCAGGTGGAAGGCTCAAGCATAGTCACTAGTAATACAACTGGATTCCTCAGACACCCAGACAAGCTCAGATTGCCCTTCCCCAGGCTGTAAATGCATTCCCCAGAGCCAATAAGGTCCCATGGAGCCTGAGCTTAGTCCCACAGTGGGTGTGGGGGTTGCAGCCTTCAGGTGCACAGGTGTTCCTCCTAACGAGGTGTTGGTGGGAAAGTTGTTGACAGCGAAATATACAGCACACAGGAGAAGGAAGGTGTCTATTACCCAGCAGCAGACAGAATGGATTTCTCTGGCTTGCAAAGAAGCAGGTGCCAGGCCTTTGTAGCCAGAGAAGGTTCTACTTCTTAATTAGAAGAACTATATGGATCCCTCTTGGAAAGGCCAGATGACTAGTTCTATCATAAGGAAGCTCTGAAAACAGTGACCTAGTGCTCATTGAAAAAGTCCTAGAGTAGACCAACTCACACTGGTTTTTCTTTTTCTTTTTGTGCTGGAACCGGGCAATCAGAGTGCTTCTGCTTTCTCCAATAAGACAGAACTCCATCTGTCCTTCACTCTTCCCCCGGCTGCTTCTGAGGTGCCTAACTCACCTCCTTCTCACTTTTTTTCACAAAGCATTTCTTAGGATGTTCTCCAAAAACCCAGCTTTGTCGCCCAGTCCAAAATTTCCTGGTTTCGTTTTGCACGTGAACTTCATCGCCCAAGTCCTGGCCGACTGTCATTTGTCCATTTTACACTCACTTGTTTTCTGCAGAAAAATGGAAACCCAGCCTACTCATTCTACCTGAACTGCACTTTTAAACAAGAGTTAACAACATGGCTGGGGGACGGACAACTCAGTGGTTAAAGCACTTGGGGGGCAAGCATGAGGATCAGTTTGGATCCCCAGAGAGCATGTAAGAAGCCAGGCAGGCATGGTTGCTGCCTGGAATCCCAGCAAGCAGAAGGCAGAGGCAAGCTGACTAGCTAGACTAGCCGGAGTTTGCTACTCTGGATTCATCTAGAGAGCCTGCTTCAATATGTAAAGGAGGAGACACCTGATGCCAACTTCAGGCCTCCCCGTGCATACCTGTATGCTTGCTAACACACATTTTCACATACACATATGAGCACACACATGAAATGCACACACACACACACACACACACACACACATACATTCATGGATACCACACATATACACATGCAGAGAGAGGGAGAGAGTGTCAGGAAACACTAATTCCATTCTGGGCACATCCAAAGGAAACAAGTTCATGTGGGTAGCAAACAGGCATTCCAGAGCAGCATTTTCCCCAAATTTTTCTTCATCAAAATTATGACAACCTGCCATTGAACTTGCTGAGGACTGAATGCAAACGTATTTCTGATGGACTTTTAAAAATGAATGTTAGTCTTCTGTTCCATATCATTCCTAAAGAAAATCTAAAATTTGATGTGTGCATATGTTCATATTTAGTAATAGGATTATATTACATGATTTATCTATGGAACTAGTCTTTCCTTCCATCCACCACTTTTATTCCCTGTCCACTGGCTTCCTGCTGGTTTTTCTTCTGCCCTTTTCATCTATGTGACATATGATTGGCCTATTTCCCATGATTCAATCTTTTACCTCTCCTATCTTCTCAGGCTAGGACTCATCCATGCTGGTGTTAATGTCTCTATTTCCTTTAAGCTAGTCTTTCCCTTGCTCCCCACTACCTATTCTATCTTCTGGCCAACACTTGAGCAGCAAGTGCCCAGCTTCTGAAGAGCTGCAGATGGCTATACTTTCTCCTAGCATTACACAGTGAAGCGTGAAATTAAACCAATCTCACTAAAGCAGCTACAGTGTCTAGCTCCCTGTCTGGATTGGGTCCACCATTCACCCCGGCATTCACCCACCCACTCATGGATCGTGGGTCATCCTTAGCTTCCTCTCCTTCAGTTTCAAGTCAGCCACTTGATCAGGTCAGCTGACTCTGCCTCTTGTGCTCTGTTTCTGTCTGTTCCCTCTTCTCTACACCCCAGGGTTATTACTGTAATCTAGACCCTAAGTGGTTCATTCACTGAACTTCTTGCTGATTACCCCATGACTGCAATTCCCCGCCAGTGGCCATGTCAGAGGATCAGCAGGTGGCAACTGACTCCAGGAGTTGGCGCACCAGAATGCAAGGCACTGATGGGTGATTCTCAGATAGGCAAGGCCCTGAGGGCTTTGGCTCCAGAATGTCTCTTGCTACTGCTGTCATTTTTCTCTGCTATCTGGCATGCAGTGAATGGGTGTGGCGGAATCCCCACTGCCTCTAATGTAGTGGGACTATCTCATGGAAATATCCCATTCTACTGGGCACTCTTACCTGTGAATTATTAGGAAGATGATTTTCTCTTAAGCTGTACTATTTAATTGAAGCAATAATTTTATACAATAGTGTTAGTTTAAATAGAATTTTGAGGGTTTTAAATAAATATAGTAAGGGATTGTGATAGGGTTTAGTTTAGTGAGAAAATTAATATAGATAAAGGCAGGATATGGTGTTATCCATTCCCCACCCCTCCACCATCCACCCTCAATAAACCTGGGGCTGCAGAGGACAGAAAACAAGTCACACAGCTAGGACTTATGAGTTTCTCTTGAAGAGCCATATAGACTGTGGCTTAGGTTAATGGTTAAGAAAAACAATTGTGGCCCAAAAGCTAGATGAGCTCAAGTTCTTTTAATCTTAGTGTTAGGATATGTGTTCATCTCAGTGTCTGTCATAGCTAAAACAAAGCTTTAAATAATGACTTAATGTTAGGTTAAGATGTTTTTGTTAATGGCTTTGAGATAGAAAATCTTGGGGGAACAATTTAAAGTTTAGAATGACACACTTTTAATAGTTGAACAAGGGACTCGTTGAGGTCAGGGAGCAGGAACAAAGGCAGTCTGCCTATGCAGGCTGACATACCTTTCCTGCTAGAATGAGTTGGTGATCAAGAGTGATGACTAATTCTTTGTACCCATTTCTGTCCTCAGCTTCCTGATATAAAAAACTGATTCAAAGTAGAGCTGACTGTTTTTCACATATAAATGTTTAGAAATTTGATTTCTTTAAGTTTTTTTTTTATAAGATTACTGTGGTGATATTTTGTTTGTGCTCTAACAAATAAAGCTTGTCTGGAGACCAGAGGGCAGAGCTAGCCACTAGTTAACCATAGAGGTCAGACAGTGGTGGCACACACCTTTAATCCCAGCACTTGGGAGGAGGAAGCAGGAAGATCAGAAGTTCAAGGCCACCCTGGGCTACATAAGATTGATCCAGTTTAAAAGAGAAACAGAACCAGGTGGTGGAAGTTCACGCCTTTAATCCCAGCACTAGGGAGGAGGAAACAGGAAATGATATGGCTGGATGGAGAGAGTAATATAAGGCGGATGGAGACAGGAACTCGCCCCCCCTCCCCCTTTCAGGCTGAGGAGTTGGCCAGGTAAGAAGTGGCTGTGGCTTGCTCCCTTGTCTCTCTGATCTTTCAGCATTTATCCTGATATCTGGCTCCCTGTTTTTATTATTAAGACTAATTAGGATTCGAGCTACAGATTACCTGTTGAGACAGATAATAAAGTGATTGATCCTTTCTTTGTAACCATAAAATACAGCCTGCCAATAAAAGAACTGGCTGAGAAAAATATCTTGCTTGCTTACACTCTGATAATCTATAAGTTGCTTGAACATGAATGTAAGTGGGTTCTTGGAGGTAATTTGTTTTTTACCTGTAATATGTAAAATGTTTAATCATGTAAGGGATATGGAAAATATGATGCCTTTTTAAAAACCTGTATTCATTGCACTCATTCACTTAAAAAATAGAATGTGACCACACTGTAATTTTTATATTGCTTAAAAGATTTTGCTGGGGTGTATAAGCTGTAAGGAAAAATTAAGAATGTACAGAAGAGGTCCCGCAGTGCAATCCCTGACTAAACCAAATTCATGCCTACCTAGCACCTGTGAATGTGACCTTATTTTGATATGGAGTCTATGCAAATATAACCAAGTTCAGACTATTGGTTAGGCTAGGCCCTAACCTGAATGTGAACAATGTCCTAATAATAAAAGGCATTTTTGATACTCAGAGAGCACAACAGGAGAGGTCTAAGGCAGAGGTTTGAGTGATCTGTCTGTGAGCCAAGGGATAATGAGGTTTGCTAGCAACCAGCAGAACCAAGACAAGAGGCACTGGGATGAGTTTGCCCCTAGAGTCCTCACAGGGGACCTGGTTCCACCTATGCCTTGATCTCCTTCTGTCCTTTAGAATAATGAGGGGATGGATGTCTATTGTTTTAAGCAATTGATACCTTGTTGAGGCAGATTTAGGAAGGCTATCTAGCTACCAATGTACTTTTCATAAATTCTTTCCAGCCATGATACCTCTCTGCTCAGAAACACTCCATGTCTCCATTGTCTAGATCAAGTTGATACCTTCCCCAGTCAGCTCCAGTCTCTGTTCTCCTTGCTGTTGTAACTTCATGTGAGTTATGTGCTGCTGCTCCACAGAAACACCTGCCTGGCTGCCCGCTAGCACATCCTTTCCCTTCCCCTCCTCACATTTGCAGTTTGCTGTGATCTTTGCCTCCAAACTCTTCCCAATGAAGATGTCCTCCATTTTTCAAGGTGACCAGATGTCACTGTATTTGAAGCTTCCTTGACTGGGCCAGGGATGGATGCTATGTTCTGAGGATAACATGTACCCCTCACAAGTTCATGTTTTGAATACATGACTCTTAGCTTGTGGTATTAGTTTGAAAGCTGTGGATCCTTTAGAAGGTGGGAGTTGGCTGGCAGAACTGGGTCATTGTTTGTGGGAATTCAAAGGTTACAGCTTGTCCTTGGCTCTAGGCTATTTATCTTCTTGTTGGTGTAAACATTCTGTGTGAACAGTTGCTTCCTCACAGTCCCACTGCAACAACAGAGCTACTTTCTCTACCTTCCTTTTACACCCATGATGGGTTGAAATCCCTTAGAAACCATGAGCCCAAACAAAGCCTTTTCCATAAGTTGCGTCTGTTGGGTATTTTTTTGTCATAGTGATGAAAAAAGTTACTAATACCATTATTATCCCCTCTGTTGGCACTTTGTTAACAAACTTGGATTTATTCCATTGTGTTCACAAATTCTTTTTATAAAAAGATTTATTTTTAATTTAGATCTATGTATGTGTGTATATGTGCATATATGTGTGTATGTGTGTGTGCATGTGCACATGGATGTGGATGCCCATGAAGTCATTAGAAGGATGAATCCCCTGAAGCTGGAGTTACAGGCAGCTGTGAACTGTTGCCTGATGTGGGTGATGGGAACCAAACTGGGATCTTCTGAAGAGCAGCAAGATCTCTTAACTGCTGAGCCTTCTCTCCAGCCTCATACTCACAAACTCTTACTTTCTCTAATATTGTTAAATAAATTATTACTAAATGTATATCTTACCATTTGTCCTCAGTTTGATTTTGAGGTACTGGGGATTGAGCCTAAAGCTTTGGGTTTGCTGGGAGCTCTACCATGGAGCTATGGCCCAGCCTATGAATATATTAAAATAATGAGTATTTGCTTCAAATTCATCAAATGATAAATACAGCCACCATACTCTAAAGTGAATAATGATAGGGATTATGATGCTTGTTCTGTGTGACTCTGAGATGAAAATTTGTTAATGAAATACAAGGAGCCACTATTTTCTCTTCCATCTTGTGCAGTAGGAATGTTTTGTAATACATGAAGGTGCAGGACATAATGAAAACTGTTCTGTGACATTTAAAGTCAATTCCATGTCAGCTGAGCCCAAAGGCACAATTTGACAATATTTTAAAGAAAATGCAAGTCAAAATTATTTGTGTATCTGTATTTATATTTGTGTATGACTTGTATGTATGTGACACTTGCATATATATATATGCATATATATGTATGTATGTATTATGTATAATACTTTGGACATAGAAACATAAAAGCAACTGACATAGTCAATCTACCAGTACATAGTCCATCCAAAGCTCTCCTCTGATCCCAGTGGGGAGGAGGATTTTCACCATGAGGATCAGCCTTTTGAAGACTACTGCAGTGTTGGCTAATTGTATCTGTCAGAAGTGGAAGGTCCTGGCCACGAACACTGAAAACTGCACTAGAAATGGCCTTGAACACAACACTTCATCTACAGGTTGTCTTGGATTGTTCACTTGTACCTTTTAGAGCCTAGGCCAGAGGCGAGTGAGTAAATTGATGCTGCTCTTGCAAATGATTAGAAGGGCAAGAAAAAGTCTTCAAGGTACATTCATACCATCCATTGCCCAGACCTCAACACTACCATCTGATTGCTTTAAGAGCATCTCTTTGTAAACAGGATTAATCATATTTACAAAGATTTGGCTCCTCTGAGGGGAGTGGCAAACCTCTATGATCATTCACCCAGAGTATATCAACACATGTGTGGTTCTGGGAAGAAGAACTAAGGATTCATTAGCTTATGAACAAATGTGATGATTTGAATAGGTCTGGTCCCTATAGACTCATGTGTTTGAATGCTTGACCCATAGGGAGGGGCACTATTAGGAAGTATGGCCTTGTTGGAGTAGGTGTGGCCTTGTCAGAGGAAGTGTGTCACTGTGGAGGCAGGCTTTGAGGTCTCATATGCTCAAGCTATACCCAGTGTGGCACACAGTCTCCTTCTGCTGCCTGCAGATCAAGATATAGAACTCTCAGCTCCTTCTCCAGCACCATGTCTGCCTGCATACTGCCATGCTTCTCGCCATGATGATAATGAACTAAACCTCCAAAACAGTAAGCCAGCCCCAGTTAAACTGTTCTCCTTTATAAGAGTTGCTGTGGTCATGGTGTCTCTTCACAGCCATAGAAACCCTAACTAAGACAAGATTCAGGCTTCTGAAAAGGACACCAACAACAACCAAAACAAAACAAACCAAAACCAAAACACAAACCAGAAGGAGAGAAAACAAGGAAAGAAGGTAGAAAAAAAGAAAGAAAGAAACAGACCCTGCCATATTGACTCAGTCATTCAGACCAGAACCTGGCAATTTCTCAATCAACTTCAGTTATTTGAGCATCCAGAGGTTCATGGTGGGTTGATATAAACTATCTTTTATCCATTCATCCTCACATGCTCCCCAGATGATTGTCAGTAACGGGAAAGGGAAGATAATCTATTCCTGAACATTTCTTCCCTTGTGTTAAAAACCTATTGAAGACCTTATATTATTCCAGAACCTAGAAAGAAGAACTGGCTATAGAAGAGGAAGTGCAGCTTTGCAGCTTTAGGCCCAGAAGGTACCTTCTATCTTGGAAGTCTTTCTTTTTGAGGGATTTCTACATCCCAGAAGCATGGGAAGATGTGACTCTAGGGTTTTAATGCCAATGAGTCAAGAGGAGAGGGGCTCTGGGTTTGGCAAGAGCAGAGCTGGGCTTGTGCATTGTTGCCTTGACAAGTGCAGCCTGGGGCAGAGTGTGTGAATGTTGGGAGGTATGGTGGGTATGGGTGTATGCATGTGCATATGAAAGCCAGAGACTGACATTAGTTATCTTCCTCAATTACTTTTCACCTTTCATTTTTAGACAGAGTCACTGAACCTGGAACTCACTTGATTCAACTAGACTGGCCAGCCAGCCAGCCCCAGGGAGCCTCCTGGCTCTGGCTGCCAGGGTTCAGATGAGAGGCGTGCACTGACATGCTGGGCTTTTTTTTTTTTTTTAAACATCTGTACCTGGAACTGAACTCAGATCCTAATGCTTGAGCAATCAACACTTTACCAACTGAACTATTTTCCCTGAGCCATCTACCCAGACCCCTGGAGCAGAGTTTTGAAGTGAGGTCTCAGCTTCCTTCCCTACTCAGTGTGGACAATGGAACCTACCTCATAGAACTGTTTTAATTATTAGATGAAAAATGTTTAAGGCGTGTGTTACCTAGCCGAGCATCTAGTCACTCAACATACAACAGATAGGAGCTTTGTTTTGTTACCTGTAACATAACAGAGGAGGTGGTAATCTTTCTGAAGTTCTTTTCTTCAAAGTAAAGAAGTTGAAAGATGGTAAACAGAGTAATTAGAGAAATCAAAATGATGCATGTGCAGTGAGGATTGGGGGTGGGGAGCTCTTTGCCAGCAGAGGTGACTGGGGGGCAATGGGGTGCAGGGTTTCACACAGTTGGTGTCTTCCCAGCAGGAGGGCAGGAAGTTGGAGCACTCAGCTGCAAGCATTCAAGAAGCTCAGGGGACCAAAGGTAGTCTCCAACCTAAAACTGGAATCCCCCCTTCAGGAGAGTTATTGATGCTTTTTATGGGGCAGGAAGGGAGGGCCAAACTGTCCTTCACTGCCTCATAATTTAGAGAATTTTTGAAGGCAATCTTTCCTTCCTAATTTCCTTTGGGGCTGTTGGATCCCATCTACCTTTTTTTTCCCCCTCAGTTGAGCTTAACTGTAGAAATATTTGACTAAAAATCTGGGGAATTTCTGTTTTTATGCACCGACTAGCTTTTTACTGTTGTCTTATCCAGCAGAGTGGATACTTTTATCTAGGAAATCTTCCTGTTAACAAGTATCTGCTGAATTCTAATGATGTAGAGGCAAAGAATGAGGTTTTAGAGCCTGGGGTTGGCTCGTTTGCTTACTAATTTTAATCACACAATGTTAGGTGCTATACCTTCTCTAGGCCTCAACTTCTTCACCTATAAAATGGAGCTGATGGCATTTGTCTAATAGAGTTGTTAAGATGAAATACATTGATAACACACAAATCACTTGAAACTGTGCCTGACACAACACAAAGTCACTTTAAGTAATGACTGCTGGCCACTTAGTGAACCATTGTCCTATGACTGAGAGCTACTGCCCCAGGGAGCTTTGCAGGTATTAACTCTTCTTAACTCTCCCAAGGCTTG